TATATCGAAAGCAATACAATATTAGATCGAAAGATAAGTCCTGGCATCGCGGTAATGACCGTATTGGAAGTGAAACAGATCCCAATTCGATACAATAGCCAGCGCAAAAATTCAATGTCATTCAACGTATATATATATACTTTTGATGAATGATAATGTTACTGATACTTCTTCTGAAACTCGGTCTCCAAAGGAGAATGAGACTACAATACATGACGATATTACGGTTCTCGTCTTTTTCCCGTCTCGCGGAGGAAATAAAACTGGAGCTCACCATAATTTTACGGTCGTTTAGTAACCCCTGTCTCGGAGGGGGAATGAGACCACAATACACTACAGTGTTATGAGGAGGTTTTCTTTCAGTTGAGTTTCGAGGGAACATTTTCTAGTTTCGAGTCAATGCTTTTGAGTTACATGTGATTATTTTCGAGTTCCGAGTTTACTTTTTCGTAACTCGAAACCAAAAAAGTTGGCTAGAAGCGCGAAAATGATATTCAAAACTCGAAACTGTTGACGCGAAACTCGACAATGTTGACGCGAAACTCAAACAAGTTGACGCGAAACTCGAACCTCGACAAAGTTGACACGAAACTCCAAATTCGATTTAAGTCACTTTTTTATTATCAGGCGGCATCTCTGCTTATGGTAAAGGCCTGAAGATAGCTATACGTTACGGCGTATGTCTATATGGGAGAGAGCAGTGTTTTCCACGGTGTCAGAATAGCTACAACAAGACTGCAGCGTATCGGTCCCGGGATCGCGGGCTTGGTGCCAAAATGTGTCATTTTAGTAGCGTACAGGAGGAATAAATTTTACCTTATCGGGATTTCCTCTTGTTTTGTTGTCGTAGATAAGTTAACATTTTTAAGCCCAAGTAAACATGGGCAGGTTACATACTTTCCAAGAATTTAATATTTAAACGAGCTTTTAGAAAGAAGGAAATAAAGACATTCAACGATTCTTTTTAACGTTGGTATCTATTTACACTGAGAAAGGGCTTAAAGGGGCGATTTGTTATTCCCATGCACATTTTTAGAGTAAAGGAGACATAGAACGATTTTTTTAATCAACAGTGCTCACTTTTGTTCCGATTATTATTTCATGCTCTAATGGAATGTGCAATAGTCGTAATTTACGCTTGAAATCGATTTTAATTTACTATTCATTTTTTTCAAAAGTAAGATAAAGTTATTAACATATTTGCAATATACCCCAAACATCTTATGCCGTTTTAGAAGATTTCCCTTGTCAACAGGGTAGCATTATGAATCACCTTGTTAACATATTCATTACAATGCGGACGTCAGAAAATTTGTAAATAATAATCATTTCAATAGCTTGTTCATTATTTCTTTGAGGGTATATGCCGAATCAGGGGCAGAGAGCGCATTCGCCTCTTATTAAGACAGTCGGGGTTCGATTCCCCGATCGGACGTGAAAAGGTTTGTTTCACCTGCCCGATGACTCGGGTTTTCTTCGGGTACTCCGGTTTCCATCCGCATTAAGACCCCATTTGCACTAACACCCGGGCGAACAAGAGTGATAAGTATAAGTTATATAACGTATTGCATCATTATTGTTAATAAAATAATTACAGTTTATTTATATAGATAATTAAAAAAAGAATGTAAATTAAAATGCTGAATGTTTAAAATATTTCCTGAAATGTTGTTGCGATCACCCGACTGTATTAATTTTGGGAGTAAGACGGTAATACTTCGAATTATTTGAATTTAACCAGCTGTCATATTTTTTGAAATTCATATAGTGAAGGGATTTTAAGCATCTACTTTTCTGTTTCAACTGTAGTTTGAATTTCCACGTTTTGGACCTGATCAACACAGATTAGTACCAGAAGGATGAAACAGCTGTATGGTGCCATGTTTTTTTGTTGTTTTTTTGGGGTTTTTTTTTTTCATTTTTTTTGCAAGACGAGACAAAACATATGGAATTGTCCATTAGTACATGATTGCTTAGTACATGATTGTTCATACATATTATAACAAAGGTATCTTTAAAGTTTTAAATAGTTTTGTAAACTTTTTTTTACACTCCTCCTCATCATCATTCATCAACATCATCATCATCATCATCATCATCATCATCATCATCATCATCATCATCATCATCATCATCATCATCATCATCTGTCATCATCATCACAATCACCATCATCCTGACATTATGTCACAATGTTAATATAATTCATTTTTGTCAAACTGCAACTATCATGATTTTTTTAAAGATGTAATCACATGTATGTTGCCTACGTTTATCTTGTATAGTAATTAGGAGGTTGGCACAATAAAGGCCTTTTGAAATCAATAATTCTAAAATGAGCAATTGCATAAAATTCGACGAAAGGTTTTGAAAAGTGATTTCAAATTACACTTTTCATTCAATCTTTTATCTTTGGTAATATTGTGTTTCTTTTTGAAGTCTTTTATATGTTACATAACCTGTTTTTGTTTTGTTTTGTTCTGAGTGATGTATTATTCATTGTAATATATTTCATGCTATCTTTCATGTTATGCAAATCTATTGTAGAGCGGGCCTTTGAAATGTTGAAATAAATGTTACCTATTTACGGAATAAAACTTGTTTAAATCAAACGACCGATATTCATTAATTTGCCAGCTTTTTATCTTTATAAACAATTTGCACATATCTCTTTTTAGATATAATTTTACACTGAGTTGCAAAAGTTCACGTTTTTCATGTGTTTGATTTACTAAAGTGTACTTCTGCAACTTTGGGTTTGGTCTCGAATTAAAATCACATTGAAATATACACGTATTTTATTTTATCGATTTCAGATATCATTTTGATTCCCAACACACCTTGTTTTTAGTTATGAATCACCATTTTTAAGATAATGCATAAAAAAAAATGTGTTCTAGTCTTCATACTTAAACAGTCATAACACTCATCGGATGTATGACTATATGTTTAAGGCGTACAGTCCCACAAATTTTCCACTATATCCCGGCCTTGAAAAGTTATTTTCCTGTTATTTTGTGTTATTTCTCCTTTCCATTATAGGAAATTTAACAAAACATTTTGTAATTATTCCCAGTAATTTGTTCAGAAAACTATTAACTCATTCACCCCTGAAATTTCATAATGAACTATTCCAACCTTTGAATTGGAAGGGTTCAAATTTGTATTCAGGGGTGAATGCATGAGTTAACATGGAAAATTATCATTAACGGAAGCGTCCTGCTTTATAATTAAGATATCCGAAGATCGAATTAATTTGTTCTGGTTGAAAAAAAGGCATTACAATGAATATATTTTCTTCGTATATAAACTATTGTAAATGGACAAGGCACTCCAAACCAGAGCATACAAAGAAAAATATTGGAACTCTTTTTCGTTGGAGATTCAAAACAGAACGCTAAGACATTCTACCTTAAACGTTCTATGGGAAGACGGTCAATATGATTTTGTTTGGGTTAATGGTTTTGACACGATTCCACGTTGGATCGGAAACATTAAAGTCAAACTTTGAGCCGAGGTCTAAACAGCAAATTACTATCTTGAGTTATCGACGAAACTCCTTGTTACACACGAACAATCGGACGGTATGGAGATTGCCGTAAGTCGCTGAACATCGTTTGATTAGCCAGAGCAATGACGTACCCTAACAGTCGACGGTAGGTGTTTCACCAAAGTGATAACAGACAGCATTTCGACGGAGAGATGCAGTGATTACATTTCGTTTGGAAATGTATTAAAAACATTTAAGGTAGTTACAAGCGTAGTCCTCGCTTTAAGGCGTCCCTTAACGCATCTTTGCATACAGGCAAAGAAGCAGGATAATTCCATTGTTTTCTTTTACATAGAATAACCTCCTCTTGAATTTGTTTTGGATATAACTGTAATAACTAATACTAACTCGAGGTTCTTATATACCCCTTTATTACAACCTAGTTCGTAGGTCGTCTCAAAGCGGTTCACAAATGATTATCCGTGTGCAACCAGCCAATACTTTTCTCAACTCCCTGGGAAACATACAGCCGGAGCTGCCTTTTCGGCGCTAATAGCTAGCATTCAACAGTTCTAGCACTGCCCAACCACGTACTCATTTACAGCTAAGTAGACTGGAACAAGCGGAGTAAAGTATCTTGCTCAAAGATACAACACAGTGCCGTGACTCGAACACGCGACCCTTCTGTCACGAGCCCGGCGTTCTACCACTAGACTACCGTGTCTCCTAACTGTACTTGGAATTGGCCAGTGATCTACCGCTGATTAGATAGGTCATTTGGTTAGAGGCACCGTACTGTAATGGGCGGACCAGGGTTTGAATCCAAAGCTGGCCTTTTTGCATTTTTACTCCCAGAACACTGTTGTTTATTTTTCTTTAATTATTATTTCATCTTTATTATTTTCCATAAATGGTACGCGAGAGATGGGATTCTTTTCAGATAGGAATTATTAAAACTATTGTCATGACGGTCAACGAGTTTCCATTTCCAATTCATATACACAATTTTGGCAGTGGTACGGGGTCCTTTTTTAAAAGAATTGAGAACGAATGTTATGCTAAATACAATACATAATAATTAGGATCCTAAACATAGGTAATTACATGGTACTAATTAGATATTTTACCAAAATGTCTGTTTAGCTCAACGGAAAATTGATTATTTTTGGATTAATTAATAAATTAAATTCAAAACTTAATTACAAGTCTAGAGATTCAAAAATATCATCTAAAGACATGAAACAGAACGTGTTTGTAAAATTTCAGATATTTCTCAATCGCATAATTAAACTTTGCGTTAACGAATCCCTAACTGAATCAGGCTTCGAACAAATAAGTCGTTGCTACAAGATACTTGTTCGTTTATCAATGGTGTAAATATATAGAATACTCACAGATATTTACCTTAAATAGATAAAAAAAAACAAAAAAACCAGTTCAATTTTAGTAATCTTCCGTTAATTTCCAAATGACCACATATTAAAATGAGATAAAAGAAATGTATACCTACTGCAAATATCTGAGAAAGGCACACCGCTAGTCCGCACGTGAGCGCCTTCGGCACAAGTACATCCTTTTTAAGTTCCAGTGTAGAAAAATAACAAAACACCACGACAAAGGTAGCGAGAAATTCGAACCCGAAGGCCTGACCCTTGTCGACGTCTCTGTGTGGCACTGTCACCCCGAGGGTCCCTTGGTACATGGCCGGGGTCAGTCCGTACAAGATTCCTGCCCCTGCCGATGCCCCGATCATCTGGACCAGCAGATAGGTCAAGGCCTTAACGATGGTTATGTAGCGTGCACACAGCATGGCGATTGTGATAGAGGGATTAAAATGACCGCCACTCCCGTGGCCAAAGGACTGGACAAGAACAGATTCGGACAGTCCGAAAGAAACAGCAGTCTTAGTTTCGTACGAATAGTAGTAGTCAGCTTCGATAGGGTGATTCCGGAGAATGGCGGCCCCACAACCAAACACAACGTACAAAAGAGTTCCAAGAAGCTCACATCTTACACCCTTCCAGAAACCCTTTGTCTGTACCTCGGCTTTTGTCTTCTCCCATTGGTCCTTTAAGCCCATATTACACAATTGTTTCATGCATGCCTCACCTGTGAAGGGTTATCCTGAAATGCATGTGCAGAGCGATAAACCTTTGACCGGAAATGTACTTTCAAAGTTAGAACCTACACGGGCGCAAACTTTGTGCAAATATTTCACGTCCAATGCGCCTGGTACCGTTACTCCAGGGACGAAGTGCTAGTGATGCTAACGTTTTACTGGCTGAGGTATTTGAATAAAATCCATTTAAATTTAATAAATGACATTAAAATTTATAAAAGTTATATATCCCCTGAAAAGTTTTATTTATCTTATTACTACCGGATGATGGCATTGTGCGTTCCTTCCATTTACCATTGTCTATATGCAAAATGTTATTAGCCTTTAGATCCAATGTATCTCTTGGCCTGCCCCACAAGGTCGAACATGCGTCATTAACGACACCGCGGGAAAGAGGCTTATTCCAGAGGTCCTGAGAGATCGGCGATACTAGACATTTGTGATCTAGGAAATTCATCAACGCGTTGTCGTTATGCAATAATAATATGGCTGGTTTCTCTACTGTTAGACATATCGATAAATATTGCATAACCAACAGGCTGATTACAAGGATAATGTCAGCGAACCATCGATTGGTGTTACGAAAGAAGGACACCTTTTCTTATCACAATCCTCAAACTATTCCATTGATCTAAAAATTACCAAAATGTCTTACAAAACGTTCGAATCTGACACGTTGTTGAGCGATATTAAGAATGACTGTAATTCTCGCTATGCATCAGACAGAATTACAAAACTCGGTAATTTCGTGACCCCCTGCTGAGCTGTCAACTTGTGGAGAAACGCTCGATCAAAAATTGAATAGCCCAATAACGGCAGTTGTCAATGAATCGATAAGCAATTGTATCAAGTTTATCTGTAACAGGTTGCTTACACGAAAACAGGATGCTTGATGTGCCCGTTTTCTCTATAGTTCCGCATATCACAGCACGCGCTCCACAGTATCCCATGGCGACGGATGGGATGCGCGTTCACCAATGTCCAAACTGTTGGTACTCCGGAGCGCTAGAGCTATAGCTGGCACCTCTTAAAATCGGTGCGCCAAACTTTGGTGGGAGCTTATCCTGTGTATCACTGCGGTTCCTGGAATTCCAGGAATCGATATCAAACACCGGTACATATCTCCGCGGTATCATCATCAACCGGCTTCTTAACTTACTCGATGTAAATAGTCGTTGACTTGCACAACATTACGCGGCCTCTATTCGGCTCCCTTTTCAAACCAACTTGCTTGTTATTGGAATTAGTGATTTATATACGAAACGGGTTTAATCTAAACCAGTAAGCCGTTACTACCTTCGACCTTCAAGTCAATACGTTGTTTTGCTGTAAAATGGCACGACAAACATTGACTCACTGCCTTGGTGCGTCCTATTGGCGTCATGTATATCTCACGTGTGGTAATTTTCTCGTTAAATTGTACGCAGCTTCGTTTCCTTTCGCTAATAGGGAGTTTAATCTGTGACGAAAGGTATAAGCGAGGATGAAAATACTGTCTACAGCTTTGGTTTCACGTAATACTATTTTGGATTTTTACTTTTTTAGGGTTAAATGTATCTTTTTGGCTTATGATGGTTTGTCACCTTGCTCAAATTGAACATATACCAAAGATATAATAGCGCATAGTGAACGTATTTTTGAAAAGTTAGTGTATGTAGTGTTACTTAACAATAGAACATTGCCCTTGGATCGGTTTGGTTATCTTTTGTTTAAACGTCATTTTAACAAATTTATTGCCGGGTTTTCTTCGCGTGCCGCACAAACTGCGAAAATAATATTAGTCCTGTAAGATGCATATGATGACAAGCTTTCTTAATTACAGCTAACCGTTATATTCCGTGAATTTAATATATAGTTAACGTCTTTTAAAACACCTCCTAATGATTTGCAAGTAATGGTAAGGAAAAGTTTACACAAGTTCTGTTATTATATATACCAGATTATTCCTCGAAATGCCATTGACGGGATTCTATAAACGAGACAAGTTGTAAAAAAAATCATGAAAGCTGGTTTTCCGATGATTTTTGTTAGATGAATAAATATTTAAAAGTCTTTTGATGTGTGTTGTAATCTTTAAACATTATTGTATTGTTCAGCGTGCTCACTTTTCTTAGCCAAGAGGAATGATTTGAAACATGGAGAAAATCTCGCATCGAAACTTTCTTCTCCAAAACGTGTATTCATTTCTTAATCCATCAAAAAAGTCCATAACTGTATATTATTAAATACTATTGTCATTAAATCCAAACGTTTTAGATCAAAACATAAAATGAAAATAGACTTGAAAATTATTCCAACAGAAAATTTTTCAGCAGATTAAATCATTCAATATCAATTGAAATTAAAACAAATTATATAATTGACATCAAATTCCAAAAGAAATTCCAAAAGGCATTAAGAGTTTAGTTCGTTCGAGTTAAGTTTCTCCAGCACTTTTTGGAACCCCATCAAATACGGCTAATATGGAAAATTACCTATTTAACAATAATAATAAAAAATAATAATATACAACATTTATATAGCGCCGTATATAATTTGTAAAATTACTCTAAGGCGCTTTACAACATATGGATAATAGTAATGGTTATAATTGTGAAAACAAACAACGAAGGCTTGCAATCACTTTCATACATTTAACAAGCAATGTGCACATAATTGAATAAATAAAAGGATGGTATTTACATGACGTCTTTGCAAAGATTCTAAAATGCAGACGAAAAAGGGGTGAGTTTTTATGTCCCTCTTGAACTTGGTCAGGGTATTTGACTTCCTAATAGCAGATGGTAAGCTATTCCACAACGTAGCCGAAACCCTCCCAAAGCACCTGTTTCTGTAGGTCACACTACGAGATTTTGGGACACACAACACAGATTCTGACTCCGACCGCAGTGATCTTGACGGCTGATACAGGGTAACAAGCTCCTGTAGGTACTGAGGAGCTGTTCCATTCAGTGCCTTGTATGTGTATACCAGAATTTTGTACTGCGACCTATATCGTACAGGTAACCAGTGCAACGAATAAAGCGCAGGTGTGATGTGCTCTCTCTTTCGAGTACGAGTAACTAGCCGTGCTGCAGTTTTCTGGACCCTCTGCAGACGACTAGATAGTTTGTCAGACATACCACAGAGCAGGGCGTTACCATAATCCAACCGAGAGGTAACAAGTGAATGCACCAGAATGCATGCATCTGCAGTTAGAAACTGCCGAATACAGCTGATGTTCCTGATCTGGTAATAACAGGATTTGGCGATAGCGTTCACTTGTTTCTCCATGTTCAGGGAACTGTCAAAGTATACCCCTAGGTTTTTAACAGCTGGAACAGTCTCAATAGTTCTGGCACCAACCTTGAGCTGGAGAGCCATTGTTTGCTGACACTTTGGGGAAAAGACGATTAGTTCCGTCTTTTCCTGATTAAGTTTAAGCATGTTGGCGTTCATCCAGATACTGAATGTTGGCATTCATAGGCAATATTAAGACAAGCTTCTAGACTTTCTGAGACTATTCCAACTGTCCTGTGGTTTTATGACCATGTAAATTTGTGTGTCATCGGCATAGCAATGATAGCGAAGGCTATGGCGACGACAAATCTCTCTTAAACTATGTTTAACAATAGTCAATGACCCATGAAATATATAAGTCAAGCTCAGCATCCGCAGCTAAGAATGTAATACAGAGTGTCATCTGTAACAACGATCCCGGTATATTTACCATCGTATGGCATTGCCACTCTATAACCCTACCAAATTCAGTTTGCATTCATATTGGCTATGAAGGCCATGGACGTCATCATTATTATTACGTCAGAATTGTTACGTCGGACACCACTAACACTCCCAAGGCAGTGGCTGTTCTATTCATTTAACAAACATACATGATACATACATTATTTGAACTAAATGCTGAATAATTATAAGTGTTATTGAATTTTCTATGAGATTAACAGATTAAAAAGAATGGTTGATATAAGTATTGAACTGCCTTGAGTTGGCATTCATAGGCAATATTAATTCAAACTGGACGAAAGAAAATCCAACGCGCTTTATTGAATTTGCCTTTGACAAATTGACATTCATATTGCCTTTGAATGCCACCTGAAAGCAGTTCAATGCTTAAATTAATAACCTATCATATTTACCTCTTTGGCTCCGCCGCCGCCGCCGTCGCCGAAAAAACAAAACATTGTTTTGATTCCACTCCATCATTTTACTAGACAATATTCAATTAATCAGGAGATTTTGTTCTTCCAAATATTTTTCATTCAGAAAATACTAAAACAAGGAAGCTTACAGCGCGCTGGTAAAAACCAAGTCAATTGTTGGGGAATTTATCATCCAAAATTACTTTTCAACAGAAAATCACAGTACGTAAATGCCTTCGCTCCCCGGTAAGGAATACCATTGCCCACATACTGAGACAGTTCTATTTTAAGTCTTTTTTCAATTATTTTCGGCGTGTTTATAACCAATGGCTATGTATATTTAAAGATGTTTTAGAGAAAATAAGGTATCGGTGCCGTAAACTAGAATCGATTTTCAGCCGGATGTGTTAAGCCTATGTTCATTGAATACGTTATGTGTTAATTGCTCTCAGCATTGAGTAAGTCTCTCCTATACGGAAACGACCTGATAGGTTGGCAAATATTTTGCCATAGCTTATGTTTAAAACGTGTTAAAAGCACCGAGTAAGGAATTTATTGCCTAATCTAATGAATATTAATTACTTCGACGAATATTGAAGCCGCACCTGTTATTTGAATATTTATTGTGTGAATGAATTTGAATATTTAAATACTTGGTAGTATATTGCTTATGATGATAATATCCATTTTAAAAAAACAACAACACTATTTTACAACAATTTTGAAACAAGTTCCATTAGCTTATGTAGGCCAAATAAAAAATCAATCTTGTGTTTCCGCTTACCCTACCTAGCCTTGTTTTTTGTGTTTACCCTGAAGTTT